AGCTGCTGCAGGGCACTTGTTGCTTCTCCCTCCCAGAGGCACCGGTGGTGGTGGGACTGCAGAGCCCAGCAGTCCACAGAGCTGTGCTGAACGGCTGCAGGCAAGGAGAGGCTGCACCCAGCAGTGGGTCCCCAGGGAGGAGCAGGGGTGGCTGCAGCCTTGGGCATCCCAGTGCCCCTTTTAGGAAGCTTTCCAGCTGGGCCTCTCTGATACCTGCAGGTTTGTCCTTAATCCTTCTCCCTCGGGCACTGCATTGCAGAAGCAGCAGTTCCAGTAGGGACAATCCTTTTCCTGACATCCCCTGCCCCAAAGCAGCAGGTATTCCCTGATGTCAACCCACTGTCCTTGCAAACTGCTCGGAAGGGATTGCCCTTTTCTATTTTTAACTAGTGGATTTAAAACTACCTGGGAGAGATGGAGCAGGGGACACACTGTGTTTCTGGAAGGAGACCCAAAAGCAGTGTCGTCTTCTCCAGCCGTGAATGGCCCAGCAATCAGGGGCTGGGGGACCAAAGCCCCTCACTCAAGCATCCTTGGGTCAGGAGCTGTTCTGGCTCCCTTTTTCTGAATCACTCCTGCTTTGTTCATAAAGCCATGAACACAATCCCATGAATTGCTCTTTGCAGGGAAGCCATCCATCCTTCTCCCTGCTGCACTGTCCTCCTGCCATAGTCAGTTGGCTGATTCAAGGGTGTTTGTGCCTGAAAAGCTCTGCATTCCCCCTGCCCTTTGAGTTACTGTGTCTGAAAAAAAACATTCCTCCCTCAGACATGGCCTTTCTGCCCACATAGCTATGGATTTTGGATCTAGAAATTTGAAGCAGTTTCCAGCATTGCCTGAGCTGTTCCCCATTAAATGCTTTGGCATTTGAGTATTAGCTTTTCTTTCTCTGCAAGGAAATAAAAAAGAACACATAAATGATTCTAAATATGCCTAAGGCACTAAGGAAGCCTTTTACAATCCATTTTAGAGCAACAGAAAACCAGAAACATGTGATTGGACTCCCACTGATAAAAACATGAAGTGGGAACGTTTCCTTCAATTGAAGGATTCCACCACCCAAAAAAACCCCAACCCACCTCTAGATAATACACTGGTAGCCATGGATGGCCACTTCTTACCAAGTCATCAGCCCTGGGGTGCCACTGCTCAACACCAACAGCCAGAGGTGACAGCAGCCCATTGGCAAGTCATTCCCACCTGTGGCAGTCCAGGACACATGTCAAAAGAAAAGCAATTAAAGAATATTCATGCCAAGGTCTTGGGGGGGAAAAAAGGGCCCTCAGGAACAATGGGCACACATCGGGTCCAGTGGTGGAGGCGGGGGGGTCTTGGATAGCCCAATTCAGCCATTTAAACATCTTTGTGGCATTGTCTGCCCTGGGTTTGGGCAGGGAGGAGGACCTCGGGCCCTGTGCTGTCCCCGCGGTGTCACCCCGGCTGGAGGGACTCCTGCCGTCCTTCAGGTGGCCACCGGGGGGCAGGCGGGGGCTTCCGACAGCGTCCGCTTGCTAAAGAGGGAGAAATGAGCAGGAAAATGGGATAAAATGCAACATGATTTCATTAAAGGCGAATCAGGCCAAACCAGTCAGCTTCTCTGTGAGGACTACCATAATTCTGGGCGGAAGAAGCGCTGAGCTCGCCTCTTTAAAATGCCACTTCACAGCTTGAGACCTAGACGTTATCTGGTATTTCCCAGCGGGTTTTATCTGGTATTTTCCCTGGCCTTATTTGTATCACCGTGAATCAGGAAGAGACCAGAAGCCCAGGATCTGCCACCTCTGTCATATCGACAGAGCCTTGCATTGCCAGCCCTGCCAGGGCTGTGGTCCCTGCCTGCTGCAAAGCAGCAAAGTTCTTGCAGAGCATCAGACCCACCCAGAATTCAGGTGAGTCATTCTTCCATGAAATTACAATTAACCTTTGACTTTGAGCCCAATTCAGAAAGCTCTGAACTTCTCGCTAGAGTGGGTCTAAGTTTAGCAACCAAACTGAATGTTTACCACTTCTATATTGCAAACCCCAGTTCTCACGTGTCCTGTTAATACTTAAACTGCTGGGCACGTCAGTCTCTACACATACCTGTGCAGTTTTGAGAATATTCCAACTGAGGGGCAGTGTATGAGATTTGAAAAAGCTGAGGGGCTCAACAAGACCAGCGGAGGGAAGAAGTTTTTACCATCTACAGAGAAAGCCCCAAAAGATGTGGAATTGGTCAAGGCAATGTGCACAAGCTAAGATGGAACCAGCAACTACACCCAGGTCTCCCAGCTGCTAGCAGCACTCCAGAACAAGGTCATCCTGTCTCCATGACCAACACAATCCCAGCAGGGTCTTCCACAGCTGTTTTGTGTCCCATCCCAATGCACACTAGAGATGGAGGCAGGAGCCTTGAGCAACCAACCCTGCAATGCTTTGGCACATGTCAAAATGACCATCTGGGATGTGACAGCCACCCTGTTATTGCCACTTTGCATCCTGAGAGCACAGCAGGGACTTAGGCAGCCTAAGCACATAGCTACAAGGAGCCAAAAAATGAAGATTGGTACTCCAGAGACTTGCTGTTCAACCTCCCTCACTGCTGCTGCATAAGAAGGCAGCTGCAGACAAGTTGGGCACTGCAGAGGGGAACAGGTCCACCAAGCAGCTCAGCTGATGGCAGTGACATAGTCCCATTGCTTCCATGGGGAGAGGCTGCTTTACATCAACTGAAGATGTAGCTTGCTACCACATCAGCTATTTTCTCTCTTACTAATGACTTTGTCCTCCCATGTGTGCCAAACCCAATTATTTATAGACCACAGGTTTTTTTTTCTCCCACCTGCCTTTGTGCTTATTATCCTTTCTTACAGAGTTAAGAAAAAGACAGGGAAAGAAAAATCTTTCCCTCAAGTAAGTCTCTCACTGACCTAAATGCAAATTTGTTCAAGCAAATTCAGAGAGCTTTGATCCTGCATAAGAGGGGAAAGGGGAGGGGAGCAGCCTCTGCTGCTATCAGAACACATCTTTACTGCTGCGTAACAACCAGGCAATGAAGCCAAAGCCATGGGAGTTTAAATAGGAAGCTCAGCCAAAGGTTACCTGGGTGCCCCAGGTGCTTGTTATCAGAGCCTTGAAAAGAGGGGAGGGAAGAAAAGTGACAGGAGCTGATCACAGCAACAACAGGAACCAGCTGACAGGGCTGGGGGAGCTGCCAACCCTCCTCAGCCCTCAGCATGCTCAGGGTCTCTGCTGTTGTAAAGAAAAGGGTTTGCAAAGCCTGGGCTCTGGAGCTGCTTGGACCATCGAGACAAAATATTTCTGTCTCGGATCTGAAGCAACTTCAGGACACAGAGCCAGAAAGCACCCTGTTAATTGCAATACCATGTTTTATTTGCTGCCTTGTCTTTGCAGGTGATTTGTACCACTGCTGAGGGGAAGGGTGACAAGGGGACAGAGACACAGTGACACTAGGACATATGCTGGAGTGCCAGAGGAATACACTGCTACTCCCTGTGTGAAGTTACACAGTTCTTCAGCCATTCAGGAGAGGGGGAGGGAAGGGAGCTCACACATGCCTACAATTCCTAGAACAAGCCTAAAGGAGAATTCAGGAGTGAGAAAACCTGGCAAGCTGGATCCAGCCAGAATCCCATCATCAGCTTTCTTGGCATATACAAAGTTTCTCTGACCACTTACATTGGTTCTCATGTCTTAAACCATTATAAGATCCTAACATCTGTTACAGGAATGTAGCTCAAACCCACCTTTAAATTCTTTGGTACCAGTGACACCAGCTCTGCTGATCTTGCTGATCAAGGGCAGGTGGCTGCTTTCAGTCCCTGAACTTTCCCTGCTGGTGCCTGCAGGGGTGAGAGGAGTTCAGGCTTCGTTGAACTCACGATTGCATCAACCCAGAACCCAAAGTGCAAAGAGAGTGGTACTAGGAAAATGCTAGCTGAGTTCACAGGAGTGAAGCTGAGACCTTTGGGACACGGAATTCCCCACTTGTGGGCCACGTGTGAGGCATCCACACCCAGCGGGGGCATTGCCACACAGACCCTGGCGCTGGGGCAGGTAATGCTGCACAGTCCAGCACCACCCACCTACCAAACCAGATCAGTATTACCAGTGCCAGTTGCCTCAGTTTCCATCTCTCTCCATTAGGCTGCTTTCCAATCAATGTTTATCGCTGGGCTGGGTCATGTTTGGCCTTGACTTTTAAGCCTATAATCTTATGGAAAGAGTCTTTGTTCCAAAACATCCCAAGTTCAGGTCCTCACTCAGAGGAGTGTATCAGTCCACCCCTGCTGACAGGTATCGAATTTCCATGCAAGGTGTTACATGGGAAGAGCTAAAAGGATGAACAGTCAGGCATGCTGAGAGCAGAGTGGGGAGGGGGACATCAACCTTCCTAGAGAAACTCCTGCTGACAGCACGGAGTTTGGTCAGCACAAGCAAGCACAAAACTGCCTGGTCCTTCTTCTAAAGCTCTACAGTCCCAGGGGCCTTGCTCCTCCTGAAGACCCAGGGTGGCTGCCTGCTCTCCTTCCCACATACCATTCCTGCACACTGTGGAGAGGAATGGCAGATCAATGTGACCAGGGCAGACTGCAGAACAACCCTAAATATCTGTTACATTTGCCGCCTTTACATGCTGAAGGGAAAGATGCCTCTGTTTGCAAAACATCAGAGCAGCTGTGGTTCCAACCAGCATTAAATCTGTGGCACACCCCTGATCTTTTCCCCCCCAGCACTTTCCCCTCTGTGAACAGACTGTAGTTAGCAAAGCCAGTCCCTTCTGCAGTGAAGTATTTCCAAGCCAGTTTGAGGCAGGCAGAACCAGAGAGTGAGTTTAGCCTACTGCCCATCACCCAAACCAGTCGCTTCCTTGCACAAGTCATTTACCCTTCCAGCATTTCATCCTCAGGGAGAAGAGGCACCTGGCTGCCCTTCTGTCCAGTGCCAACAGGAGCTCAGCCTTTGCTGCACCTCTTGGTGCTACCATAACATTTCCACATGCTTGTGCTGGGACATCTGTCTTGCTAAGGCCACTAAAGGACAAGTGGGAACAATAAAGCCACAGAACTACATAAGAGCAGCGTTTTCCACTGTTCAAATAGGGCAGGACAACTGCAAAAGGCTTATTGTTCAAACAGTTTATTACCAACTATATTAGGCTTTATCTATAATTAATTATATTAGACTTTATATCTGTACTGTGCTCCATCGGGCTCTGGAAGCAAGGGAGCAGCTGCCAGTGGGCGTGGGTGGGCTTTAGTAGACACCTGCATGTTCCCACAGACTGACCCTCTGGGCTTCTGAAGGGGCCTTTCACCCATCTCTGCTGCACCCGGGGCTCTCCGTTTGAGGGCAGCTCTCCTCCTGCACCTTTCCACCAGCCAAGGATGTGCTCTGTTGAAGCAGGGGTTATAGTAGTAGAGGATCTAAAACAGGCAAAGGAGAAGAGTTAGTTGCCATCCTCCCAAGATGGAAAACCCCAAGCTACAAGAACTAGGACTCTGAATTGCAAAAGAGGAGGAGCATGGACACAGAAAAGGGCTCTGAGGGCTGTATGGAACCTAAAGCTCAGGCTAAAGCATGATGTGAAAATTGTCTTCAGTCATTGCCACCCCTGGGGTTTTGCCCTCTGGAGACAGAGCAGTGTAGGATTTTCAAAAGGAGAACAACTGCTTTCAAAAGCCAAATACCACTATTTTTCAGCAGCTTCAGTGTGAACATGAGCAGTCAAGTAACCCTGTACTCCTTAAATGCATCTGCTTGGCATTCAGCAGGTGCTGCAGGAAGGTTTCAGATTTGGTACAGCAAGACACAGGGCAAAGACATTTGGAGAAATCAGGTTATGCTGAGTCTGTCTTTCCCTTTAATGGGCTCAGACTCAGCAGATCTCACCAATCTGCATTTCTAGTAGTCAGAAAGACTAACTCAAACCTGCCTGAGCACAGCCTGAGAACAAAATGAAAACCAGACCTCTCATTCCCACCTACATCTCTTCTATGGTGAGGCCCTATTTGCAGTGAAGGTCCCTCTCTCCCCTAAGACTACCACAAGCATTAGTTGATGTGCAGAGGAGCTGCTGTACCTGGCTGTGCGCAGAAACTGCTGCTTCCTCTGCCAGGAATTCAGGCAGGGAGGCAGATCTCTGGTCATCCTGCTGCATTTTGGTGAATCCATAGCTGTTCAGCTGGCGAATAATAGTCTCGATTCTCTGCGTGTTAAAAACCCGTTGAGGTCCTGCCCTGCCCAGCACCTCCTCTTTGAAGAGTTCTTCATTGATTGCAACACATTGTCCACCATTGCTCCACCAAATGGACCGAAACTGGTCACTTTCCAGCATTTCCCAAATTTTCTGTGGAAAGCAGAGGGGTGACAATTGACTGTCCTTGCCTGTGCTCTCATTGGAAACAGAAGGGCCTCGTTTGGTCTTGACTCTGCCCCTGCTAGGCTGGATGTCCTGTTCCTTCTCCATCACTTGTATGGCAGTGTCACAGGGCACAATTTCCCCTGTCCTGGCAGGCCAGGGGAAGCTGTGTCAGCCTGCTGCCCCAGTGCATCTGGAGTACAAAGGAATGTTGTTTTTGTGGGAATCAGCTCCCTTTTCTTTTGCTACAGGTGGACTGAAGCTTCCCTCATTGGCCATGGCCCTGCACAGCCGTACCTCGTTCTGCCAGTCAGCAGGCAAAGGCCAGCTGATGCCCCTGACTGTGGGTTCCAATTGAGTGTTCTGACATGTCACTGTGGTGCCCGTGCTCCTCAGGGAGGAGCAGGGATGGCTGCAGCCTTGGGCATCCCAGTGCCCCTTTGGGAAGCTTTCCAGCTGGGCCCCTCTGACACCTGCAAAAATGTCCTTGTGGATATCAGGGAGAGGAACCAGCCCAGGGAACTGTGCTGGATTGCACATGGGGAAGGTGGGACAGCCCACCCTGGTGCCAAAAGTGGCAGCTGTGGTGTGGGAGGTGCAGTCTGGTGCAGCTGGAGCAGCACACTGGAGACCAGCTAGGGCCTGGCTGCTGAGTGGTGATGACAGAGATAGGGCAGCCCAGAAGTTCTCCAGCAGGGTTGGGAAGTGGGGGAGCAGCATCTCAGGGTGTACAGGGTCTGTGTATGCAGGGACATGCATTAGCCATTAGTTGCTTTACCTTGGCGAGTACGGACTCTCTGTGAGCAGACACCTGCATGTCCTGTGCTGGAACTGGTGTGAACACCTCCTTCTCCACGCCAGCAGCAGTTCCCTGTGCAGGACGAAGATCTTGGCAGCTTTCCTCCAGCTCCTCATCCAGACATGATGCAGCTGGGGCTCTCCTTTTGTGGCCCACTCTTGGCTTGTACCTTTCCAGCACCTGGGGATGCTCCATCTTAAAGCTGGGGCTGTAACAGATTCAGAGAAGCTAAAAAGTGCAAAGGAGGAGAGTTAGTTCAAGCCTGAAAACCACAAATACATGAGAACAAAGACTTGGTTTTAGACAAAAGCCAAACTTGGGTATTGAAAAGAACTTTTAAGGGCTTATGAAACCTCAAGTTTAGGCTCTCCCAAATGTTACAATATGGTTCTGTTAAGTGATAACCAGCCCTGGGGTTTTCACCTGAGAAATGCCCTGAGAAGCAATGAAAGTGAGGACATTTATGTCTGAGGCTTCTTTGGTATGAACATCAGTCTCTCCCAGCAGTTCATGTGTAAAGGAACTGATGTACCTTTGTAGGAGCTGAAGTAGCTACTTCTGCTGGAAATTCATCCCTGGAGTTAGGCAAACTGGATATGGCAGTTCGCACAGCCCATACAGGTCAAGTTGATGAGGAAAACTGCTCATGCTCTCCATTTCAAAGGCTCTGCCAAGTCCTCTTCTCACCAGCACCTCATCCTTGAACATTTCTTTATTGAAGGCAACAAAGAATCCATCACCAACCAACCAAATGGAACGAAATTCATCACTGTGAGAAATTTCCCAGAGCTGCTTGAGAAAGGAGAGATCTTCAGTTTAGCCACTGCTCCCCTTGGAAGAAGGAGGAATGCCTCTTTCAGTCAGTGCTGTCATTGCTCCTACAGCAACATCCACAGCTGCTTGACTATCCCACTTAGTAGAGGCTGGAGAAGCTGAACCTGAGGACTCCCTCAGCTTGTCTGAGAAAGAGGAGGAAATTTTAGCTGTTGATGCCTCCCTTTAAAACCATCCTCTCTCATTTGGGCTCAACCTTTCTTCTGCAGCCATTGCTCTGGCCATCCAGGCTCTGTCCTGCCAGATACCAACCAAAGGCCAACCAGTACCAACTGGTGCTGACTGTGGGTTCCCACGGGACATTCTCAAACACCACCGTGGTGCCCATGTCCCACAGTGATGACATTGCAGGGTGGCACTCATGACTTGGCAGATGGGAGCAGCATGGGGAGGAATTCTTGTTGCTTTTCCCTTCCAGCTGGCCCCTCTGACACCTGCAGAAACATCCTTACAGTCTCTGCAGTTTTTTGTGATTAAGTGGACAAACATCTTACAAGCTCCCTGGTAACAAACTAGCCTTTCAGTGTGGCTACAAATACTTCTGCCAAGCAAGGAAAAAGTGTTTCCCTTGTTGAAACACATTGCAACAAGTCTTTGTGTGGAGTAAACCCTCTTCATGCCAGAAGAATCAGTGCAAATGACCCTACTTGGTACCCAGTGTCTGAGCTCCTGCTTGTCTCTCTCTTACAGCCCAGTGTGAGGCAGGTTGGCTGCAGCATTTTGGGATCTCTGTAACAGGGAAGGCTATTTCTGAGGTGACAGAGACCCGGCAGACAGCTGAGAGCCCAGAACAACCCCTGAGCTCACCTTGTTAGCAGCGCCAGCTTGCTGTTCTCTAACAATCTGTTCTAAGCACTGGCTAAGTTTGGAAACAGTGCTAAAAGCAGGCTTGCCATGGTCATGCCAATGAATGAAGAGCTTGTCACACAGGGAGATTCACCACCAGCACGAGGGAAGAGCATAAACATTACTGTATTAGATATAAACCATTGTACAGAGGAAAGTGTGAGTCCTTCAAACTGCTGCAACAGACTTTAATACTGTATTAAGTGCTGGGGAATGGGAGGAGCAGAGGATATCTCACTGACTAGCTTCAGTCTTCTGCAAATGGATGTGAATGCTCCACTCCGAACACAGTTTCAACAGGCTAGTTCCTAACATGTCCCGACCCTTAAAAAGTGCCTATATTCAGCTTCTGGATTTCACTTTATCTCTTGAATATCCTCAGCAATTCAGGCTTGCTCCAAGGGTGAAGCTCACCAAGCACTCACAGACACCAAGGAACAGCAACATGCAGTTCCTGGCAGCAGGACAAACCCTTTGGAGTGAAGGGGCAGGACCCAGTGATCACAGCCATCTCTCCCAACTCCACCTTCAGGAAGCAACTTGTTCTGTTTTTATTCCTGTGAAAACAGAAAGGGGAAGAAAGCAGCTGGTTGTCACAGGAAGATGGACAAGTAAAAAAAAAAGGGAGGTGCTACAGCTTCAATGAGTTTCAGATGTGCTGCTTGGAGTCATCCTGAGATGTAGGAGAAGCCACTGTCTCCTGCAGGACCTTAGGCCTTCTCAGAAGAATTTATGTCCCACTGCAAGTCACCCAGCCCTGCATTCCTTGGTCAGGTTTACTCCCTCTTGGAGAGCAGACACATTCCTCTGTCTCTGCCTTTCAGCTCAATGCCAGGCCTGCAATGAGCCTGACAGATAAACCAAGCCCTGTCAAGACACATTCCTGTCTAGAACTGTACCTTGACCCATTGTATGAGATCTCTTTTTATCATCTCCCAGAGTTGTGAGAAGCAGCTGAAACCCAGGATCCATGGGAAGAACAAACAGCATATCAGGCATTTCAAAAATGGAAACATCAGAAAGGTTAGGCTTCAACCAAGTGAGGCAGACAAAGCCATAACCCCTGCCAGGAGAATGAGCAATGCAAACAGTGGATGCCTGTATCTGAAGTCGAGATTTTTCCCCAGTCACAGCAGAGGAATGTGTTTTAAATAGCTAGCTTTTGGCCTTCTGTTTTGTTTACTCTTCCAAAGACAAAACCAAAAGTGATGCCATTCCCCGCCTTATTGAAGTGCAGAAGGAAACATCTGGGAAGGGGAGGCAAAACATGACAAAGTCCAGACCAGTCTAAATGGAGACACACACAGGCCCTTCTGCTCAGCCTGCTGAATATGTAGCTATTTATCTACACAGCCTGCTACCACAGCTGAGTGGAAAATACCTGCTGGGCTTCGGGATGCTCCAAGCAGCCAGGAGGAGAACAGGGGGAACGTCACAGTCAGCTGCTCCTCAGGGGTTGCCTGGTTCCTTGAGTAACCACCACTGCACAGAAGGACCAGACCTTCCACTGATGTGAGCAAGCTCCACAGCCTCTGCCACAGCTGCATTCATGCTTATGCCAGTTCAGGGGACATATGGCTACTGCCCAGCTGAAAAGCTCCTGGTAACTTTTAGCCTGAGAAAATAGAAGCAGAAGAGCAGAATGAGGAAGTGATCCACTGAAATTTGTTCTCTGTGAGGGACTTCCCTGGAGGACCGGCATGATAAAGGTGCTGCCTGCCCAGAAAAATGCCACACTAAACCTGGAGAATGGCCAAGCATGGTTCAAGCTGGGTGACTTGTTCACAGAAGCCAGTACCTCTGCCAAGTGCAGGCAGTGGCTGAACACTTATAATTAGAGCTGAGGTGTCAGGCCAGTTGCTTCCAACTCCTGTTATTTTTTATTACGCATCTTTCAGTATTTTGTATTCACCTGAAGAGAGACAGTGTCCGATTTCAGGGGGTAGGAAAACTTCATGCCTAGAGTGTACAGTTTTGTTTTCCTAGTTATGCAAAATGGTCCTCCTTGCAAACCTAGGTCCACCAAAAGGGCTCCTAACTATATGGCAGAGGGGCAGGACCTGACTTGGTAAGTAACTTCTTGAACAATTAGGGTTACTCCAAGGGTAATTATTCTAATCAGCAAACATTTATTAGAAACTGCAGAGGTACAGCACAGGGCTGGCACAGGGAGGGACAGGCTATTTCATCTGCAACTACCCTGACCTTCAAGGAAAAAACCCTCTAGCACAACATAGTTGCCATAAACACTCAGACCATGACAAAAGATGTCAGAAATGCAAGCTGTTGACATTACGGGATACTTGGCCAAAGCGAAACCGTATGCCTTTTAAACCCTGAGAGTAAAGACCAGCAAGTTTTATGAGAGGGTGATATGCTATTCTAGAGGGCAGGAGAGAGCAGCTGACATTGAACACAAAATCTGTTTTCTTAGAAGGAAGTTAATTTCCAAATGACACAGAGCTGTGTAACTCATTGCCAGGTTCCGGATCCAAACTAGTCAAGTTCATAAAAGGGTTAGATCAAGGCAGAATGGGTTCACCAGCACTTTTATTCTTTTAACACTTAACACTATTATTTTTTTTTACTCCTGGGCTGTATCCTCTGGCTCAAGGCACTGCCAAGAGCACAGGGCAAACCAGCCTCTTCCCTTACTGTCTGCTACTAGCTGGATGGACATTTGGTCTGACTCGCTTGTCACATGTAGTCAGCCAAGACTGAAGTATTCAGGGCTCAATGTTTGAGCAAAACAAAGCCTTGCCTGGTGGTGTGAGATTTTGCAGGCTCGTTTCTTAAAGTGTCTCATGTGTTTAGTTCCTCCTTCTGTCTCTTGTGAGCGTGAGAAGAAGACAGGCCACCATCCCCAAAGAGGGCAGACACCTCCGCACAGGGCTGCTCTGCTCCTTGTTTGTAAAGTATTACAACACTGCAAACAGTCAAACCTTGGATGAAACAGAGCCTTGGATAAATCCCATGGCTGGGATTACTCACACTGATGTTGCAATCATTGGTGTCATGGATAAAAACGACTCAAAGAAGAGGAGGATGACAATTTTCCATCATGACTTATTTACATTAATTATAAACAGAGATTCCCAGCTCTCTCAAGCTAGCTCAACAACTAGCACCTACCCATGGCCTGTTATCTAAGCTGAGGACTGTGCTAAAGCAGATTCTCTTCAATATCTGAAGTGGGTTGCTGTGATCCTACAACTTCAACCAAACAGCAAAGCCTCATTTTACTCTAACTGCTGTATATATATATATTTACTGCATGGTTACAGGAACAATTCTTTGCTGCTATAAAGACACACCTGCATCTTACCTTCAGATGTCATATTTAGAAAGGTTCCTGGTGACAACCCCACCATAAGCTCTTACATAGTTGAATATATCCGTGTGCAGCACTAAACACTGCACCCAAAGCTGAGCCTTGGTCACTGCTCTGCTGGTGATACCAGCACTCCTAATGGGGCTTGGGGCTTAGGCTGTGGAGAGGAAGCTCTAGCATTAAAAATTAAAATCACAAGTAACCACATTAAATTAAGTTACTCATACCTTTTATACAGCCCCTTCCCAAGTGAAATGCAGCCATAAGGATGTGATGCTCTTACAGCTTTTGACTTAATGCTTTTATGCAGTAGGGGAGGTGGAAAGATGATACAAGCTCACACATTTGCAGCAGGAAAATCAAACCCCTTACACAGTAAAAGCAAGCAGAGAGTCTGGTCATTGGGCTAAAGCAGTTGGTCAGGTGGACAAACTGATTTATCTGACTGGTTGTCTTAGGAATGGGCGACTACTTACAGAGGTTGTGCAACTACTCTGCCTCTGCTCTGCAAACAGCCTGATGTCCAAACAGCAGTGTCTGTAACAGCCTCACTCTGTATTGATATGATTTGCGTGTGCTCAGTAAATAAACAAACAGTGACTCATAAATGACGGGCTTGGAGAAACCCAGGGCAGGGGTTATAGCACAGGCTCAGTCATCACCTCCTCATCTGTCCAGACACCACCGTACAGAAGGGCCCTGGCTGCACCAGGAGATCTCACCCAGGCAGCAGCCCTGGCTGCCAAGGCCAAACCCTCCTGCTGTGAGCAGCATCTTGCCTGAGGCAGAGCACACACCCCCTCCAGCAGCTCAGTGGCACTTGGCCTACCTGGCACCAGCAGCCCTGGCCTGGCAGGGTATCCCACAAAGGTGGATGTTCCACGCTGTATCCTCACCCAAAAGCACCTCTTGCCCTCAGCACTGCGTGTGCCATCCCACCCTCCAGACTGCTACACTGAATTAGCACTGGGCAAGTGAAAAAAAAAGTCCAGAAGAGATAGATAGAAATTAATGTTTAACCTTTGTCTGCCTTACACTACTGACAAATAGTTGCGGGCAATCCAGAAATTTTTTCCACTCATTTAGTTTCTACTTTGTAAGCAATTTCATTTCCTCTGCCATGCAAAGAGCTCCATCAACAGCAGACCTAAGGAAACCAGGTCCCTCGTGGATTTAGTATTTGGATAATTAGTTTCTACATGATTGTGTTGTTTTTTTTTTCCCTCATGGCTACTATATGGTTTGAGCCTGCTACATCCTGTTTCTTGGGCAGTGTACAGCAAGGTCTCTATCCACTGGCTTTGTGGTTTCAGAGATCCCTTAGGAACCTTTAAAAGCTTTACTGTTCTTTGAGCTTTTCACTGAACTGAGGAATGGCCACCACGTTCAAAGCTGCTGGCAGTTGGCCAGCACAACCACAGCACAACTGTGTGCCACCTTGAAGTTGAGCTTTGAACAGATGGAAAAGGAACCCAGTAGCAAATTGTATAATGGCCTAGCAAAAATCCTTTAAAACACGAGAGAATTGCAAAACCAAATCTGAAAAGACACCAAATCAGAAAATTCTTGTTTCTAGGCTCATCTCCTCAACTCCTAGGGATATAGGCTGAACCTCCAACCCAAAACATTTGAACAGTCATGACCTAGCAATCAGATCTTCAGCCCTGAATGCCCAGAGAGTAGGGAAGCTCTTCAGTCCCAATCTTGTTCTCCTGTCACCAACAGTAGCCAGCCACAACTGCCTGGCATAAACCCTCCTGTCACAAGAGGAGAGTCATTGCTTTATCTGTGCAGCCCATCACCGTGCAGGACTGCCTGGCACCACTGGAGAAGCAGGAGCTGTATATAAATGGATGGCTGATTCATGCTGGGACACTGGGCTATTTTCTTGTCCCCCCCAACACGATTTCACCCAGCACAAGAGAGCTGTGAAGACAGTGCCCTGTGTGGTCCCACTCCACTGGGATGAGCAACCCAGAGACGTCAGAAGCTTTACTGGAGGCTGTGATCACCAAGGCTTTGTCTGGCTGTAATTAAGCCACCCCCTAAGGAGGGTGTCCTGCCCACTTTACTCAGCATTGTCTGGGCAAGACAACTGTGCAGGGACAGGGACACAGGCTGCCTCCTCACATCCCTCAACATGCATCCAGAGGTGCACAGTCATCTCCAGGTCCTTCCTCTCTTGCCCAGCAGGGCACATCTGTGCTCCTCACTCCCACCCTGGGAAGTCCAGGTTGGGGCTGGGACCACTGCACCAATCCAGAGGTGGAAGCCAAGACCTGAGCACTGGCAGGGTGGGGGATGTGTGGGAAAGAGTAACTCCAGGTTGCAGTGAGCTCACTGCAGCACAAACTGCCAAGTTGTTTTGCTTCTTCAGGCACCCTTTACTTCAAGATTAATTCAAATAAAACTTGATTCGTTCATTGGACAACTGAAGTTTGCAAGACAAGTAACTAGTGGGACAACTACTCACCAGCATCCCAAATCATTTTTTAAGACCCAGGCTGGTGTTTTAAAGACCCTCCACGTTCCAATACAGCTCTCTCACCGCCTGCAAGTTTGGCAACATCTAAAGCTACAGTAACCGTTAAACTGTTGTCCGTGGTTTGGGTGCAAACCTGTGTTAAACAATATCAAGACTTATCTTGATATGAGCTAAGCAAAGTTGAGCAAATGGGAGATGTGCTGCCACAACAGAAAGCTGTGCAGAGCCCCAGGCTGGGCAGAATGTTGCTGATGCCTCCATGTCAGGAGGTCAAGTCCAAGGCCACCTGACCTCATGTCTTATCCAAAACAATACCAGACACTTCCCACACCCAGAGGTGTGAGAATCCCAGACTGCCTGCACAGGACTCAACCTGCCTTCTTATACCTCAGGACTGGTTTATGTCTGGACAGTAACACCCTTATTCCCTCAGGAAAGCATCACCATTCATTGCAATGCCAGGTTGCCTTGCTTCCCATTTAAGAACCTGAGCTGGACATTTCATCTTACTAAATTTATTACCTCACCAGCTTCTGAAGACAATGAGACACACATAAGTAAACTCAGTTAACCAGTCGTTAAAATTATTTTCTCACAGCCTAATCATCCATTACTTAAGTTCCACAATTTCATGACAAGTCACAGATAGGTCAGAGATGCTGGAAACAAGACGTTCTCCCCAGCTACCACACAATACATATAATTCCTGGGTAGCTACTTGTTGCCACCAGTCGTGCTGAGAACAGGACTGTGCCCTGTGACACAGTGGATTCAATTTATAACAAAACCAAAAAGAGAAAAAAATAGGTCAGCCCTGACAAGATCTGCTTGACTCATCCTTTCTGCTGTATTTAATATTGTTGGAGAATTGCTCCATGCAGGGAGCAATTTAGAAAAAGCTTGATGAGGAAAAGCTTGTGATGAGGAAAGCTCATCTGCTTTCCTTTAGAGCAGCTGCCTGCCTGCCCAGGACAGATGCACTTGTCACGTACGTGGAGATGGCTCATGCACACTGAAGGAGCAGCTCATTCGACAACCACACATTTATGAGACAGTTTCTAATCAAACCCTTCCTCCAAGCACAGATAACAGGCCATCCTCCACGCTCTCACCACAAGTACATGACAGCTCCAGCACTCTG